ATTTGATCGAGCCTCACCCTCAAGTCTTGTGTTTATCCCTTGGGGTAGATACAGGATTTGAGGTTGAGTGCTCTTTCATTTAAACTATGGAAAATATGAGGTCAGTTTGATTTCATATTTTTCTAAAATTATATATATATATACGTAAATTAAAAAGTCATTCCGAAGCGGGCGACGGGATTTCGATTCCGGCGACCGACAGCTTCTTACGGGCGACCCCCAAACATTTAAAAAAAAAAAAAACTCTCTTTTCCCCCTTTTAAGCGCCGACAGATGCTTTCTTCTATTCCCATTTGGTTATAATTTAGACAGTATCACATGATCATAAACTCACAACACACTCCAAGCATTTCCTACAATTCTATCTCAATAAAAACCTCAACACACCTTAAATTATTTATATTCACCAAATGAACAGCTCTTTCATAATTATAAATGAAAGAATCTAAAGTTAAGGTTTCACCTTGACTTGCAAAACAAGAAGAAGCCAGTTCCTTGCTTTTCTTCTCCAACGATCTATTCTCGCTTTCTCACTTGCAGCTGTCCCTCTCTCGATCTCTCGATCGTTATCTCAGTCTCTCGCCACCCCTTTACGATGAATCATTTCACACACCTCGGTCATTCCCACAGCCCGCTTAAGGAAACCCGTTATCTCAATCTCTCGATCCACGTTGATAGTTTGGAACTTAGCTCTTTAATTATTTATTTATTTATAATAAATAGTATTTAGATGTTTTCTTTTTATTTGGGCCAATTATATTTGGACCAAAATACTCCCAAAAACATATAACCTCTTATATTCACATACTACTCACTTTAATTGTTTTGAATCTGATTTTATGTGGGAGGCACACCCCAGTGTTTGAGTGTTTGATTAAAGAGAAACTGATAGAGAGTGGGAGCGGGGGTTAAAGAGAAGAGCACAGCGATTTGATCCTCTGGGGCAAAATGGGTAATTATCGAGCTCATATGACCCTTTTTATATAATCATTTATTTTTTTACATGGAGAGAGTGAAGAGTCTAAAGCCTCTTCTTATGTAAAGATACATGGGAGATGATATAGGCCAAAAAGTTTGATTACATGAAAAGACCCCTTTATTTATAGGAGAGGGAAAACAACGAAGAAAAATAACTTTTATGACTCGTGTTGGACTATTTTTGGTGTCATTGAGTCAGTCTCTTCGAGTCGATCAGTTTAACTATAAGTTTGTTGAAATCAAAATTTAATATAATTTTTTTGTCTTATTTTAGATGTTTCATGCTCAAAAGATGCTCTGAAATCAATGCTAATCACTTTGAAATCTGTGCCAAATGACAAATTTGGTTGTAATGATGCTATGATAGATACATCTAAAGTAAGTGCATCGATGGAAATCAACCGCCTCTGATCAACTAAAGTTCTGGGAAAAAATCATCGAAGTCATCACATGATAAATTTGGACAATAATATTTCATAGCTGTGGTTGCAGTAGTTACAATCTAAAAACGAGAAGAAAAAAGAAGCCCTTGCATTTTAATTGCATTTGATTCGGCTACTCCGTGTAGAAGTAAGCATGTCAGATGAGCACGGAATTTGGGCACAATTAGTGATGGCTTCTCTAAAATAAAAAAATTGTCTCATTCTGTAATACAAATATGCAATTTACAACTTCGTGCGGGCATATAGAAACTGCATTCTATATAACATATCACAGGATTTACTGAAACAAACAGCATAAAATAAGTGAAAGAACAAAACTTCATCAAATTTTAATGCTAGCGGCTATAACTTGCCTTGAAACACTTTGAAGATCTTTAATTAAAAGATCAGAAAAACGATGAACCAATAGTTTATAGCATGATCTATATGAAGCTGAATAATCAATTCCCAAGGCTTAAAAAAACAAATAACTCTTTCTTCGCATGAGAAACATGTAAATTTACAAGAAACCATGCAGCACAAGATGTTTTGAGTTTTCCAAAAGATTTTTCTTCGACTCTTCGACTAATAAGCTATAAATGGACCAAAAATTCTATAATTAAAGTAGCATGCACACATCTAGCAACATTTTCACATCTAGCAACATTTTATTTGGGAAATAGCATCATACTTATTCCATGAAACGTGAAAGAGAGAAGAATCTCAAATAGCTATCATACAAAACAAGTATTGAATGAAACTGCGAAACACAGTTAGTCACCGCTTATGGGTGGAATGATTGCTAACTCATCTCCATTCTTCAAAATGGTAGATTCGGCGGCATATTCCTCATTAACTGAAAAAACCATGGAGTTGCGGATCTCCTCCAGCCCTGGAAACTTGTTTAAGAGAATTTTTAAACAATCTCCAGCGGAGCAACAAGGGGGCACTTGCAGAGATAAATCAGCTAAGCCAGTAATCTCACGAGCTTTGGCAAAGAACAAAACTTCAATCTTGACTGAAGTTTCAGAATTCATCCCTGCAACTCCGGCTGGATTCTGTTCCTCAGAAACTTTGCCGTGGTTATTCTCAGTAGAAAAATCTAAAACAAAACATTTTATGAGAAAATCATTCGAACTTAGTGCATCCCCCAATTCAAAATAATAAATTTTAATAAAATGTACAAGTTGTAGAAGTATTTCAGAGAGGAGGAAGATGATTGAAAAAGATAATGCTTATATTTTGATATACCCTGAAATCAGTAAAGTAAAGTTGTATACAAAAGGAAATATATAAAGACATATAGGAAAAAGGTTGTTATGAGCTGAACGGTGGGATGGAGTCTGTTGGAGATCAAACAGCATTGGTTCCTGCTAGATGAGGAGCTCAGCGGGCAGCAGGGAAGTGGAGCAGAGGAAGTTACGCAGGTCACAAAGCTTATGGCAACAATTTTGTTTAGAAAAACTTTAGAAAGTATAAAATATAGCAAGGCAAGAGAAATATGCGACAAAAGAAACAAATTTCTACCTACGGGTTCTTTCTCCATTATTGTTAACCCAACGCTTGGAGCTTCTATGGAAAAGGAAAGACAACCAAGGCATGTGATCAAAAGCCGCTGACACTTTGTTTATCCTTTCATGAATTACAGCTAAGGGGGTATTTGGCTCCGCTCAGGATTTTCGTTTAATATGATTTAGTAAATCTGATAAATCTGGATTTATCAAATCCATATACTGTTAATATCAAGATAGTGTTTATTTCAATTGAGGTTAAATCGAATTAAATTTGTTTGACGTGTTTGACATTTTATTTCAGGTTCTTACAATCACAGTTTTCTTCTCAAACTAAATCTGTTAAATCGCCAAATAATTAGATTTAATAAATAAAGATTTACATCCAAAAACAAATGGAAGGGGGAGAAAATTGAATTTAACGGGGCACCGGATTTAATTTCCCGTTGTAGCATTTAGCTGGATTTACATTAAACCCAGCCTAAATCCTCTTAAAATTACGCTACCAGATAACCCTTATACCTCATAAACTTATATTTGCATTATTAAAAAAAATGGAATAGAACTATACTTACAAAAAAAAGCTATAAAAAATAGAATACTGATTAAAAAAAAAGGTAAAATTATACATTGTGCAGAAATAGGAAGACTTAATATAACTGAGTTCACTGTTAAATATTCCAGAAAAAAACAAAGGAAACTTTGACTTATTATGACTTTTATTTCTCCATTTATTCTGACATACGGAAGGCTTGGAGTTAAATTTTATCAACTACAAGTTAAAATACAAAACATAAAATGGTGGTTTCATTCCCTTTTAATGCTGATCCTATCTCTCTTCACCCATCCATTTGCCCATTTCGTTCTTAAATTGCTGGCTGAATATTCGTTCATTCAACTTAACGTGAATAATAATTTTTCCCCATTTTACGTTATAGCAAGCCACATATCAAACAAACGCTGTAAATGTATTCAATTGAACATTATCGTAGAAACAAAAAAAATATAAACACACTAAAAGTGTATCCCAAGGGTGGTGGAGGCCGACGAGTTAGGCTGGAATGGGAAAGTTTGGGTGTTGGAAGACGGCAGATTTAGCATGCAAGGTTTCTAGAAGGTAGATGAAATGTTGTAAGGCTTGTGTACGGCTGGAAAAAGCAGTAAAACAACTAAGGGAAGAAGTTGTGGGCTACGACAGGGAAGTGCGACGTTGAGGGCTGGGACAGGGATGGCACCGAAGCGGGATGCCGGGAAAGCGTTTGGGAAGGGGGAAACTGCAGTAAAACAGTAAGGACAGCTGTTTATAGGCAACTAAAGAAGAAAAGTATGACGTGAAGCGGTGGTAGCGAGGTGAGAAAAAGGAAGGCTGTAATTGTAAAAAAACAACCAAAGAGGTTTGTTTCTAGGCGACTACAGTAGGTCCGGAGATGCAGCAGTGGAGGAATGGATGTGGAGCTAGAAAAAATCAAGGATAAACACCATCTCAAAAAGAGATACAAACTGAGCACCACTCGCCCTTGGATACAACCCTAAAAAAGGGAAAACCTAAATGATGATGGTTGTCTAGACAGAAACACAAGAAAAACTAAAATTTATACCCTAATGCAACAAATAAATAGGAAATGATTATAAATGAATGAAAAGAAAGGACGAAACTAGCTAAAAATTGAAAATGAATCAAAAATGGGCCTATTGATTTGGCTCTATGCTGTTGGCGTGAACTGGAGCATCTGCAGTACGCTTCCGACCCTATAGCGGGAGACACCCTCATCACCCTCTCTTTGATCATACTACTCTAAATGATCTACAATATAAAGATTACATGTGAATTGAATTTAATCAATTTATATGATGATATAAGCATTCATTAAGCTTGTGAAAACATACAATGATGATTAAAAAACATCGAGAAGTACTTTTAAAGTTCATTTTTATTGATAATTTTCACCGATAAAATTATCTAATAAAAGCAATATATCATCAACAGGTCAAATATTTGAGCCCAGACCATTTTACAATACACTTCAAAGGACATCAAAATCCTATTGCAAAAATTTTGATGCATTTCAATAATGATAAAATAACTTCCAAAATATTGAAATCTTGTAATGTCACTTGTTTTGACAATGTCGAAGCGAATGGATGATTTTGAATTTGCATGTAAAGGTCTAAACATCTAAATCCTAACATTTTGACACCTTCTACAAACATATAATGGCACAATAGTATATTTTTTAGCTTTTTATTTGAGCAAGAGGGGGTAAAAACCAATCAATTTTGCTATACATTGCTCTCCCTAAACATTTTAATAATTCAACACATTAATTTTCTTTAAACACAGCTGGAAAATCCATGTGATTGCTTGCAGCACCTCTTCGAACAAAAGGTACTCACCTTGCTTTTTCCAACAAGAACATCTACGATAGCCACAGTTTGCTTAAGATCCTCTTCTTCAATAGCGATATTATCACCAAATAGAAAAATAGATGCATTCACATTTTCCATAGTGCTCATAAATTCCAATGCCTTGATTTTACTATATGATACAAGGAATAGATTGATCCGGTGATTTTATAGTAGTGTCATTTAATATCATCCAATACATAAAGTTAACCTCAAAAAGGAGGGATAAGGCTAATAGTAAGGACTCTATAACACATAAAAATACAATTTCTTTATTAAGTAAGCCCATTTATAGTTAACTTTTTGACACCTATACCACCATATAATTTAGCTTGTTCATTTCATTCCAGCATATACACTTTTAACTTTTGTAACTTATTTGCCAGTACAAATAAATAATCAAAAGTTAATCCTAAGTAATTTGAACCCATTATTTGTCTAAGGTATTTTTTTAAATAAATTGAAGCTAAGAGCATGCGCACTAATTTTTTTGTTTAACATATTCTATTAGCATATAGAGTTGACAGATTTCAAACAGATATTAAACAATATTTACAGAATTCACATTCTTTCAAGCCCTCGCAAATTATCAAACTCAGATTATAGGAATAGACCTATTTTTGTTTGAATGACATTCTGAATGACCTTACTCTTGAAATTTTTTTCCACTATCTTTAAATAAACACAAACTAGGCCTTAAAATTTATTAAAAATTCTCTTTGGTTCATCTAGATCAATATCAAAATTTTAGAAAGAGATCAAATCAAGAATTCCAGCTAGAACTATACATATTAAAAAGCCAATATTTTAGATTTTTAGTATCCAAAAAGCCAATACTTTAGATTCTAGTATAAAAATTGGTTTAAATGTAAAAGCTTAGAGAACTATAAAAAACATCAAACGGCCCACAAAGAGTCTAAGAGAACAATCTGTGACGCTAAAAATTCTGCTTTTAATGATCTTTATAATAGATTAGATACTAAGGAGGGTGAAAAATATATGTATAAACTAGTCAAACAAAGAGAAAAGAAAAGTGAAGACTTAACTCAAATAAAATGTATTAAAGATGAAAATCAAAAAGTGTTTTTCTTAAAAAAAAATATTTGAAATATGTGGGTGAGTTATTTTGATAAACTTTTTAATGAAGTTTTGGAAAATACAATCAACCTTAGTGATCTTAATATCATTAATAATAATAAAATGTTTCATTTTTACCTTCGCATTAGTAAAAAATAAGTTGAGGAGACTTAAAAAAAAACCAAGGGTGGAAATTTTGTAAGACCTGATGATATCCTAATTGAAGTGTGGAAATATTTTGAAGATTTAGGAGTTTCTTGGCTTACTAAACTCTTTAATTTTATTTAAAAACTAAAAAGATGTTTGAGGAGCGGGGGAAGAAAGAAAGAGTATTTTGGTCCCCCTTTTTAAGAATAAAGGGGATGCAAAAAAGGGTGCAAATTATAGAGGAACTAAGTTGATGTGACATATTTTAAAATTATGGTAGAGGGTAATTGGACATATGTTAAGACGTGAAACAAAGATTTATCATAATCAGTTTGGATTTATGCGTGCAGTCTACTATGGAAGCTATACATTTATTGAGAGATTTGATGGAGAAGTTCAGAGATAATAAGGAGGATCTACATATGATTTTTATTGATTTAGAAAAAACTTGCGATAAGATTTCAATAGATATCCTTTGGAGAGTTCTTGAGAAGAAAAAAGTTGATATGACTTATATTGAAGTCATTAAAGATATGTATACAAGAACTGTTATTTGTACTCGAACAGAAGAAGGATTGACCAAATATTTTCCTATTTCTGTTAGTTTAAATCAAGGATCGGCTTTAATCTCATATCTTTTTGCTTTAGTTATCGATGGTCTTACTGGATACTTATAGGAGATGTACCTTGGTGTATGTTTTTTGCTGATGATATCCTTCTCGTGGATAAGAATCCTTCTCGTGGATAAGAATCCTTCTCGTGGATAAGAAGAGAGAAAAAGCTCAAGAAAAACTTGAATTATGGAGGTCTACCTTGGAGTCTAAAGGCCTTCATTTTAGTAGAACTAAAACTGAATAAATGAAAAGTAATTTTAGTAGTAGGAGCTTTAGTGATAGAAATGTAACTATGGGTGATCAAATTATTAAAAGGTGTGAACGCTTTAGATATAGATATCTCGAATATC